TTAAATTATAAATGTATTTGCGGAAACACAAACTTTCTGGTTCCAAAGCAGCTGTATTATGCAGTCAGCTGTAAAAGGTTAGAAGTAATTGCTTTTAAAATAAATAAAATATCCCAATCCTTGCAACAGTCACATATTCGAAGATCTTAAGGGTTTTAAGGTGTGCGTCCTCTTAACTGCGCATACAATATTACAGCTGAAAATCTGAGGCATAACAATCCTCTATCATTTCCTCTTTCAAGGCTGACATTGTATCAAATTTATTACCGGTTAACCTACCTAAGGACTTGCCCTTCTAGTTTTAGTAACGAAAGAGGGATTTAAAGTACTATCACTGTCCTCCAGCGGCCGAGAGGTAAAAACCGCTGAACGCTGAGAGTTCGGTCCAGATTCGAGTCCTCGCGAATGGGCTGGCTGCTTGGCCGTTTGCCTGGCTTCTCGAGAAGTGAAGTGGGTACTAGCCAATTGCCCTCAAATCTGCCTCCTCGGGGCATTTCAGCCTTCTGCGTAATGCATAACGGCAGAGTATGTAATAAATATAAGCGCTATCGCTATGGTGCTTCGCAACAGATTATATCCAAACTTAGAAGAACAGCTATCCAAGAATTGTTAAGCTCCTACATCTCATTTATGCGAATACCAGGTTTTAATTTTTATTTGGCGAGATAAAGATTATTCATACTCTAATAAACTTCAATCGGTAAAAAAATGCATTGATTTTTTTTTCTTTTACAAATACAAATATACTGGTGGTAACATATGCTAAAAAGGGTTTTCGAACGAGACCAAAAGAAGAAGGTCCACAGAACATTCTATTTTATAAAAGTGATCTCTACTCGGGGAAAGCTCGAGAAACGCTGCTGATAGCGAAATACTTGTGTTTTCTCGAAAACTATTTGAAACCTGAAGAATTTTAACGTAGGAGTAATTCTTAAAATGTACGTAAAGTGATGCGACTGATTTAATTCCCTTAACCATTCGGATGATGTGTTTTCTTTTGGGTTTCTATGAAATTAAGAGTAACAGTGAAATAGAGAGTTAAGAATATAAACAAGAAGTATCTGCTGCTATTTATATTTTCTTTAATTCTCTGTTTCATTCTATTTATTTGCATATTTATTTTACACTATTCATTCTTTACGCTGTATCTCATACTTTGCTTTTCATGCTATTTATTTTAGTTAATTTTTCATGCTATTTGGCCCACCAGCGGCCGAGCGGTAAAGTCGTTGAACTCTGGTAGTCCGACCGGAGGTTCGAATCCCGCGAACGGACTAGCTGCATGGGCATTTTCACGGTTTTTACCATGTGGAATATGGTGTCCGCCGATAACATCGCGGCAAAAACATCGCGGACGAAAACGTCGCGGAGAAAACAACTCAAGGCGAAAATGTCGTGCTACAAAACATCGTGCGAGAAAACATCGCAGTTCTAAAACGTCGTGCTACAAAACATCGTCGTCAAAAATAAAGCGGTTCAAAAACTTCGCAGTTTAAAAACATCGTCGTCGAAAATATCGTGGTAAAAAATAAAGTATCTACAAATCATCGCATGACGATAACTTCGCAGACATGCTTTTTTCAGGTTTTAATTATTGTAAATGGATATTCCCATAATGATTTGTGAGTTCAGTATGTAAAGAAGGATAATTTTTATTTTCACATATTTTATTAACTAATAAATGTTTGCTGAAAAAGTAAGAAGGAAACTTAAGCATAAAAAATTAAATTCAAATTATAGATTATACTTTTCATGAAAAATTACCAGTAGAAACTTTATAAAAATGATTTATTAATGGTCTTTGTTAATTAATTCAGTTTAAAATTCTATTAAGTGCTATAAGTTGCATTAATTTTCTATGCTTAAGTTTCATTCTTATTTTCTCAGCAAAAATTTATTAGTTAATAAAAAGTATGAAAGTAAAAATTATCCTTCTTTCCATCTTGCGATCACAAATCAATATGGGAATATCCATTTATAGTTATTAAAGCCTGAAAGAAGCATGTCTGCGATGTTATCATCATGCGATGATTTGTAGATACTTTATTTTTACCACGATATTTTCGACGACGATGTTTTTAAACTGCGAAGTTTTTGAACCGCTTTATTTTCGACGACGATGTTTTGTACCACGATGTTTTAGAACTGCGATGTTTTCTCCCACGATGTTTTGTAGCACGACGTTTTTGCCTTGCGTTGTTTTCTCCGCGACGTTTTCGTCCGCGATGTTTCTGCCGCGATGTTTTCGGCTGTAACCGTGGAATATGTATGTGAGTCGCCTTCGCTTAGCGAGTGCTTCATGAAAACATCCCTTCCCTAGTGTGCTTTGCCATGAACTATCAACCCAAACCAAACCATGTTTTTTTTTTTTTTTTTGGTTCATGTTATACTTTGGTGTCATTACAATCCAGAGATCCTGCCCTACACCCAAATAATATATTTCGTTTTCTTTTTAAAATGAAAAATATTTATTCTTGTTATAATTTTTTTAGTTATTCGCGAAGAATTTCATAATCACTACTCATTTTGCACGCAACTGATTTTATACCAATAGCCAAACATACAAGTGGAAGAGATCCAGATTTATATCGGGTCAGTCCATAAGCTTGTGCGCATTAAGAGTATGCGTGGAATTCACTATGACGCATTTACTAAAACAATACAATTTTAAACCTGTTGAAACTTGTCTTCGTTTGACTAACATATTATTCAGTTCATCACCAACTTTCGTAAATATCGAACACATTTTTAGTACCCATAGAAGACGAATATAGATAATCAGTACAAACGTGTTGTGCTACATTTTTTATTTACGTATGGTGAATCTGCCAGCTTTGCAGCGATAAAAATTAATAGTGTACATGGTAAACACACTATTAGTGTAAGGACTGCCCAGAAATGGTTTAAATTTTTAAAGTTGGAAAAAGCAGCATGGAAGATGAACCCCGTTTCAGGACGTTTTGAACTGTTAGAACCAAATCAAACGATTCATTCAGAAGTTTATAGTGAACAACTTTGCCCTCTAAATTCAGAATGGATCAAAAAACGTCCACGATGGGTGAATATCAAGAAAGTGTTGTTTCATCATGATAACGCTAGACGGCATACGGCTCGAATAACGCTGCAAGAAATGAGTGAATTTAATTGGGAGCTTTTTCACATCCTGTTTACTCCCCAGAAATTGCCCCATGTGATTTTCACTTATTTCGTGCCTTACAAAATTTTTTACTGGGAAAAAAAATAAATTATAAACAGGATGTACACAATGAACTTCCAAGTTTTTTTTCATCAAACCAGTTGTAGATAATGGAGGAAAATATACATATGATTAAAATGTTAAATTGTGTTTTTTATATTATTTAAAAATTTACCAAAAAATGCGTACGAATTTATGGACTGACCCGATATTTCGTGAAGAAATTACAAAGGTATGTGCGGTAATCGGACACATTGACCAGTTCGTCTCTAGTTATGTGTCACTACTCTTTAAGTAACTACACAAGGGCAAATGCAGAAAGATTGTATTAAACCAAACCTAACCTATGATATGTATGATTATATCAAGCTATAAATAAGTAGAGTGCTAACTAACATACGTTAAGGTGTGTATGCATTTGTCTGACGGACTCTTAAATTAGTGATTAATGCATCGTAGATTAGTGTTCTCATTGACTGCACTGCAAAATTTTGATTACGGTTTTGTTTAGCGGTGTATGCTAAAATCTGATTGTTTAGGTTTGACAGTTTTGTTAATATAGCCACTCGAACTGAAGCCCTCGAAACGAGTTCCTTGCTTTTTTTTTTAAAAAAAAATATTATTGGTATTACGTGCAATTTATATTGAGCAATAATTGTTGTCATGCGTGTTCGATGTAAAATTTGCATCTTGTTATGCATGGTACAGATATTTATTATAGAAAATTGTGCCACGAGTTTTACGATTTTATTGCAAATAAAAAGAACGTATATGAGAAATATCATATATAATATAGTTTTCATATATTCTAATAGCAAAGTTTGGATATTCGGTATGAAAGGGCAATCGAAAATCGTGATCTTGTGTCCGAGTACTGAGCGGAAAATATGCGTAAATTGCATTAGGGTATCTAATAAAGTAATATCTTGAGTGTTACATTTGAGATTTAAATTCAGCAATCGAACAATATGTGATGAAATGACTGCGTTTTTAAAAGTGAATAATGGATAGTGATATAATAGTGAAAAAAATTGAAAAATCGCACAGAATAAAACCAAATTCTTACATTTTTTAAGAGAAATATTGTTTAGTTTCATCTATGTATAAATTCGTATAAATATTCCAGATCTTAATGCTAGAGAATCATATTCCTAAAATCCGAATCTTTTACTTCTAAAGGTATTCTACCTTTCTGTCAGGTTGAATAGAATTCTTTTCATCTTTTCCTCTTTCATCTTTAGAAGGAAAACCTATGTTCTGAGGAATTTTATTACTATGATGCTATTTTCTTAGCCCAATACAGATGAGTATTTTTGACTATTTACTAAATATATATTCGAAAAAAAGGTGGTGAATGGAGATTCTTTACCACCAGGATTTGACGGTTCGAGTCTCGGTGAGGGCATTACTCATTTTTCATGTACCTTGCTTCGAAATAACATAATGCTTCTACAAGGCAGGTGACAAAAAACTTCCACAAGAAAATTATATTTAGTTTGATATGTCAATGAGACTACTGGTTTAACGAAAGGGACAGTTTCTTCGGAAGAGAATGAAGTAATTGGGTCATTCGACCCACGGAATGCTTTATTCACCCTTCATATCGGAAAAACAAAAAAATAATAATTTACATTTCCGTATATTTTATATGTCATAGATTTTCATAATTTACCCTTTTACTGCTTTTGTCTTTAAATGTGCTTTCTAGTTTTTAATTATGAAATCAGCCATCACGATAAATCAAGCGTTCTTAAAAAGGAATTCGATGAAGTAATACAAATGAAATTAAGGAGCTCTTACTTACCTGAATGTAGAGTCTTGGTTTGTGATATTGACAGTGGGCTCTGTTTCTCTGTTGGGAGCAGATGTCGTTGTGGTGGTGGTGGTGGAAGTGGTTGAGGAAGTCGTTGTTGAGGTTCGTTGCCTTGGCCTTCCTCTGAGGTTAGATAATTTTCCTGCCCACGGGGAGGGCAAACGGCGGGGTATTCCAATGCTGGCCTGTGGCGTGAGGCTTTTGCTCTCAATCTGAGAAAAGAATTGTTTAAAATTAGATAAAAAAGATTAGCAAAATTTTGAAGAAGATAAGAGATGCAAGATCAGGATGGGCGAGTTCCGAATTAATGTATTTTGCTTGCATGCTTAACTCATTTTAACAACCACCCTACTTTTAAAAGAGGTTCGGTGGCGGGGTGGCTAGCGCATCGCGCAGCAGCACAGCAGATCCGGGTTCGATTCCTGGGCTGGGTAAGGTCGACTCAGCCTTTCATCCCTTGATTTCCATCGCTTGGCTCGATAAAATGAGTACCAAGTTCGCTTGGGGACTAAACATCGGAGGTCCTTCGACAAGCCGACCACTTGTTCAGGGCGTATGCCTACGCACCCCGGGGCCCACAATCAAGAAAGCAGATTTCGGCCACTGCAGGCTTTGGCCCATTAGGGCTGTTACGCCACTGGTTTCTTTAGTCCACTTTTAAATAATATTTGTATTTGAAAACACCACTCTATCATGCTAAAGAATCACATTAGTAACAAAACTGGCCTTTATTCAAAGCAACAATAAAACTGGTACATAACACGTACTGGAATAGTGTTTGATGTTCTAAGATAACTCTTGAAAATTAAAACTCTAAATTAAAATAAGATTTGATTTTGATTTCGGAAGTAGAAATTGCAACTTTAATCCATTCCTGTAATCTTCATAAAATACAAATGGCAGATAATTGAAGCGGTGGGCGTTTAATTTATTTGATCTAAGGAATTCTGTTTTCTAAAAATTTATGAATTTATGAAATTCATTTAGGAAATTATTATCTTCTAAGGAATTCTGTTTTATAAATATTTATGAATTTATGAAATTTATTTAGGAAATTGTTTTCTTCTAAGGAATTCTGTTTTCTAAAAAATTTATGAGAGAATTTATTTAGAACTTCTATGCGTAAAAATGTTGAACCACTTGGATACTTTACCCAGCCTTTCATGATTACTCGTAACGGCTCATTAAATCAAGTTTGTTCCTTGTTTTTATTGTCATGCTCTCTGAGCCACATTGGAAGATGTGATCATTATTTACCATGGCATTGTCTGCTTGAAACCACGCTCAATTAACGGGAAAGGTCATCCGTGCCACGGCTTGAATGTGGCCCTGTATAATGATTTCACTCTAGTACACATTACAGTCAACTATGTGTGCAAAAGCAGACTACAGTCTTTGTGCATGATTAAAAATGACCAACAAAACATGCGTACCAACAAAACAGAAGTTCCTTATCCTTTCCATACAATGAAGTTGAAATCAAGTAATCAATATCTTATACTTTTACTTGATATCTCCATGCAACGCGCTGCTTACAGTGGCTTCTTTAGATTGGTTGATTGCTTAATTGTGTAGTTTACCTCATACACTTTGCATGAACAAAGATTTGAGTAGGTATGCATAGAGAGAATTATTATGTGGGTGGCATTTAAGGGATCAAACTTAGCTCAAGTAGGGAGAAAGGCGGCTGGCGACGAATGTAGTCATCATGAGTAACCCATTATGTCAGCTCAAGAATAATGATGATAATAATAATGATAATGTAAGTCGCCCAACTGGTATAGTGGTCAGCATCGCTGACTGCCGTGCCGAAGAGCCTGGGTTCGAATCCCGAGAAGGCATGGATGTTTGTAAATGTATAGTGTCAGTGCGGCATGGCGAAAGTTTCCTCATGTGGTTTGGTGAAAGGGGCGAGGGGTGGGAAACCCTCGGACCCTTCCTCCCCGGGGTGCTAACCATCAAAATTGGGGGCGGAACTGACCTAAATCGCACTATCACCTGAATGTGCTCAAGGCTGTTGCCAACAGCAGGAGTAATCTAGCTCTCTTAACCATGAGGAATTTCGTGGGTTTGGGCTCACTCCGTCAGACAAGTGAGCATAAGTAAGGAACAACAACAACATGATAATGTAAAGGCTTCCTGCCTAAGGGAAAGGATACTTTCACAGGAGATTTGCGGAATACAAATTGACTCCTATATTGACTGTTTAGTCTGTTTTCACTTTTTGGTCTGTATCACTTCTCAAATAAAAGCATGTTATGGCTATGTACTTATTTTTAAAGAAATCATATAATGAATATAAAAATGTATGCGACACGAATGATGTAACAAAATGTTCAGCTACTGAACACGCTATTAAAACAGCGCATTCTAAAGACGTTGTTTTTAAACATTTTGTGAAATTCTTGCTGGATTTTATGCGACAAAGTTAAACAGATAAATTAAATAAAAAACAAAAAAATGCATAAATAAATAATCTTCCAAAGAAAACTGATTACCGATCTGATAAACTGAAGAAAAACTAAATAAAAGTGTGGGAATACTAAATGCTGTATCCAGAATTCTAAAACATATGCTGATTTTAAAACTTTCGCGATTTTGTTGTCGAATTTTATGTGAAGTAAGTGTGAAGATAGTAAAGTTAAAAAATTAAACAAAAACGAAAATTCGAAATGTTTCAGATTTTAAATTACGTCCAAAGGGGCGTTTTTTTAACATTTTGTGTGTTACATTTATTTATTAAATATCACATTCTTCGCACTTAAACCATAAAATTCAGTTCAACAGCAATATCGCCAAATAGTTTTAAAATGAGCATAGCTTTAGAATTTCCGATACAGCGACTCACGCGTTGGAGATAAAAATGTTTTTTCTGTTCATCGTTGCCATGGCTCGCTTTCAAATCCTTGAGTTTGTTAATCAAAAATTCGTTAAAGTTTTACAAAATAGGAAATCGATAATAAAGCAAATTCCAAATTTCAAATTTGATCTTCCACATGCCCATATTCGTAGGAGGATTACGTCATTCAAAATTGGATGGCTCTATGTACCGTGGTTTTATCAAATGCGAGAAATATACATACATTTATGCAGATTTTTCATTATTTAATTCCTTTAAATATAACGCAGGGCGATAATACTTTGTGGCAACAGTTTAAAAAGTGATTCGCCGTTTGTAGTGAATCGACGCAAAATCGCAAAACGAAAACAATAGTCCTTCAGGGACAAATATCTTTGGACTGAAAAAAAAATGTATAAATTATGTTGTAAAGAAAACTGAACATTAATGTGATGAGCTGAGAAAAATCTGAAAAAAGTAGAAAAATATAAGACAACACTTAGAACTCTGTCGGAATTCTTCAGATGTATTACTTTTAAAAATTTTGCGATTTTTACTGTTGAATGTTATATAGTGTTATATAGCTAGAAAAGCTATGTTTAATAATAAAATTAAAAAGATTAAAAGTTTCGTTAACGAGAGTCAGTCAGTCAGTCTAAGAGCATTACGCTAAATTGCAAACGAGAACATAAAAGCTTAAGAAACAGTTTGCCACGACATTAAAGTCGTTTAGAATTTTTTATACTTTATCGTTTAGAAATTTCACCATATAAGGATAATCCATATGAGGTGTTAATGGAACTGTAGTGTTTGATCATGAAGATGAATTAACAATCTAATGCAAAATGTTTCTTTTATTGATTTTATGTCCTTCAGTAATTGTATCAAAATAAGAAAATGCATTTGTGGGTCAAATAATATTTTTCAAGAAAGTTAGGAAAACGAATGCAGTAGAAAGAAATAAGTAGCATAACAAGCACTATAAAAAGTGAGTGCTGTAAAATATATTTCTAAAAAATATAAAGTTAGAAGTATTGCAACGGGTTTGCCATTTTCCAAATTCGCAATCTGGGTGGGCAAGTCATCCATCAAACTGTTTCTCTTAATCCTGTTATACGGAAGACAGAAATGTAATAGGATCAATAAATTTTAATTCTACGATATTGCTTTATAAAATGAGTACAGTGGCTAGGTTCGGTATTCATTAGAAGAAGCGCCTCAGAAGTAAAAACCATTATTCAATACAGCAGCAATTATATACTTTATTATTTTATAAACTCTGTGAATAAATTCTGAAGCAAGCAAAGTTTTAAAAATTCTAACTGAACAGCTTTGCTCAGTTACCTCCTTGAATTCAGTTAAAATAAAGAATTTTATTCTTAAAATTAGGCCCTCTTTTTTTAACGTAAGCGTTTTTTTTTAAATTCCATCTTGCCTTTGAGATTCGTACAAAAAAGAATATAAATTTTTCTTTTCTTCCTCTGAAATACGATACTGCCCACTGTCCGTTTTCCTTTTCTTCGCATCTAAGCTTAATTCTTCGCCTTGCTGGCAGAAAGATTTAAAAACGGGTGAAAAATAAGACTTCTGCCTACTTTGTCTATTGGAATACTATTCTTGGTCCTGTTGCCATCTGTTAGAGTAAAAATATAACTCTTTATACATATTTTTAGACACATTTCCTTTTCAAAATATAATAGACATTTCTTACACTGATGAATTTATTTGTGGCAACACCAGATGGATTTTTTTTTTTTTTTTCAGAAAAGAAGTATATTTGGAAGAAATTGGCTGAGCTATTATATTATATAGATATCTTACTTTTTAAATATCACATTTTCTGAATATAATATACACTTATTAATTTATTGTAGATTTAATAATACAATTACGTTCTAATTAATAATTGAATTTATGACTGTGTCTGATTTTGTTACCTCAATTTTGGATTTTTCTGCGTATTAAACCTGTACTAGCGATCGGCATAAATTTTGAAATCACCGAGTATGCTCGAAACTGTCATCGCACTGGCAATCCAATCGGCAAATACAAATCATGCTACTGAAAGTTTAAAGAGAAAACTTTAATGCTAGGTATTGAAGACTGGTGCACGAAGTAGAGAATACCGGCAAATACCCAGGGGTATAAAAAATCCCAGCTTTTAATTCGTAAAAAATCACATAAATAAATTACCAAAGAGAAACTGGGTTCTGTTTGATGATATCACTGAAAAAGTACGCAAAGCGCGAAATATCACTGAAAAAGTACGAAACTATCCCTGAAAAGTACGCAATCTTTGTGTTTATTTCAATGGTAAACTAAAGTGGAAAGATCATATTGAAAATATTAAGAAAAAAGCCACTTAAGTCATTA